ATCTGTTCGGAGACATTTAATGTTCTTTCCAGTTTGATTCTCATCACCACTGCAGAACTCTAAGCCATTATCTGTTCGGAGACATTTAATGTTCTTTCCAGTTTGATTCTCAACAAGTACTTTCCACTTCTTGAAAGTTTCGAACACCTCGCTTTTGCGCCTGAGAAAGTAAACCCAAACTTTCCTGAAAAAATCATCAATAAACGTCAGAAAATAAAGAGCACCACCTTTGGATGGAACCTGAGCAGGTCCCCACAAATCTGAATGGATGTAGTCGAGAGTGCCCTTCGTCGTATGTGAGCCAGTCGAGAAGCTGACCCGAGTTTGCTTCCCAAACACACAATGCTCACAGAAATCCAGTGATGATGTATGATCACCACAGAGTTAGCCACGTTTACTCAAAATAGTCATCCCCTTCTCACTCATGTGGCCTAAACGCATGTGCCACAACTGAGTAGTGTCCCTATCAGCATCAGAGGACACACCTGCAGAGCCTGTCACCGTACTGCCTTGGAGAACATAAAGACTGTTCATCTTACTACCTTTCATCACAAGCAATGAACCCTTAGTAACTCTAAGAGCTCCACCTCCACCAGTGTAAGAACATCCAACAGAATCCAAAGAACTCAAAGAAATTAGATTTTTCTTTAAGTCCGGGATGTGTCTCACATCTGACAAAGTTCTCACTATCCCATCGTGACACCGGATGCGAACTGTACCAATGCCAACTGTCTTGCAAACTGTATTGTTACCCATCAAAACTGATCCACCACTTATAGATCTGTAAGTAGTGAACCAATCTTTATTTGGACACATATGAAAAGACGCACCTGTATCCAAGATCCATTCTTTATCGGAACGGCCATCCAAGGGACATACTGTAAGAACCGTCTCAGCAACAACGGCAGTATCAGCCTTTGCCGTATTAGCTGAATCTGAGGTTTCACCACGCTGGTTGTCTTTCTTCTTTAGAGCATAACATTCTGACTTGTAATGCCCTTTCTTGTGACAGTAGAAACACTCCACATGTTTCTTGTTTGGGGCTGACATGGACTTTGAGCGATTTCTGGATTGCCCTTTATCATCCTCTCTGGCCTTCGATCTACCTCTGGCTAGCAGACCATCAGCCTGCCCATCGGTACCTCTCCCATTCAACTTTGTTCTTAACTCAGCAGAGTTCAAAGAGACCTTCACATCCTCAAGACTTATGGATTCTCTTCCATACAACATAGAGTTAACAAAGTTTTCATAAGAGTTAGGCAATGAACATAATACAATGAGAGCCTGGTCTTCATCATCAAGTTTAAGATCCAGGTTTTTCATATCCATGACAATTTTATTAAATTCATCAAGGTGTTCCTGAATGGGTTTACCTTCCTTCATCTTCAGTGTGTATAGCCGTTGCTTCAGGTATAATCTCGTAGTAAGAGATTTCTTCAGGTAGAGACTTTCAAGCTTTGACCACAACCCCGATGCCATTTCCTCATCGGCAACTTCACGAAGCACATTGTCGGATAGTAACAATTGCAAGGCGCTGTGAGCTTTTTCGTCCATCTCTTCGATCTCGGCACTAGTCATATCTTTTGGGTATTTCCCGTCGATAGCTTTAACCGTGCATTCACGTCGCAACAAAGCCTTCATCTTTATCCTCCATAGGCCAAAATTGTTCTGGCCATCAAAGATCAACACCGAGAACTTTACGGAAGCCATTGTAGAGGATTGAAAGCTGTCCTAGAACCGAGAAGCTCTGATACCAGTTTGTTAGGGAAATTACCCACTAAATCAGAGAATAGAATAATCACAAACACAATATTTACGTGGTTCGATCAAATTGATCTACGTCCACGGCAAGAGGGTGTATCACTATATTTCTTTCTCAACATACAACACTCATACAAAATATTGAGAGCTCACAGATTTCTCGTGTGGCTTTCACTCTCTGTCTCTCAAGCTCTGTTCGTTAATTTAATTTGATATCAGAGAGGATAAGGGATTTATAGGCTTCATAAGACCACCAATCACGCCTCATGTTTGTTGACAAACAAAAGCAAAAACAAAACCGGCCTCAATTGTTGACTAACCTATCCCCTCTCCCTTGATGTCAACAACGGAGGCTACCGAAAGTTTGTTGGCCTTAATTGTTGATTAACACTTTCTCTCACCTCCTATTGCCGTGAGCTCCTCCTAGTGTAGTCCTCTCACCGCTTAGCTCATTTTCTCGAAGACGACGACTCTTTGACTTACCCAGTCGTCTTCGGTGTTATGTGACAGTTACTTATCTATTTTATGTTTAGAATCTCTTTAAATCATCAAATGTACTTTTAGATTTTCTAGAAATTTTTTTAATTTTTAATTTTTTAATATTTATACATATCTAAATTAGATCATTATTTGACTTTGTACTTTTTACCGCTCCTTTACCGCAATAGCCCCAAATAACCTTAGCGATGCCTCACCGCTATGTGACGCTATCCGCTATTGATAACCTTGATTTCTATTGATCTCGACTACCAAACATGGACAAAAATCTTGGATTATATCCCATGAAATTTGTGAATTTTGAAGTTCTCCACTTTTTTGTCATTGGGTCAATACGAATGAATATGGAAAAAATTGTGGTTTATAGTCACTGAAAATGGTGAATTTTAAGGAAAGAAAATATAATCCTCATTGGGTCAATATAGATGAAAATGGGCAAATTCCTGAGTTAAAGATCATAAAAACTAAGAATTTTCAAGTACGCATTAGTTGCCATTGTGTCAGAACAATAAATGGACCAATATACGTTATAGCCCATGACAATCGTGAATTTTGAGGAAAGAAAACTAAATTGACATTGAGTGGAAACAACTGAAAATGGACAACGTTACAACCCATGAAAATTGTGAAATCTAAAGTACGTTAGAATATTGCCATCAGGTCGAAATCGATGAAAATGGACTGTGTTATAATCCATGAAAATGGTCAATTATTAGAAGAAAAACTTAATTGCCCTACAGTCGAAGTGATTGAAAATGGACAAAGATCGTTGGGATCCAACCCTTAGAACTTGAGAATTTTGTAATACACTAATTAATTATCATTGAGTCGAAACAGATGAAAATGGTCAAAGTTGTGAATATAGTCTATAAAGATGGTGAATTTTAAGAAAAAATTCAATTGCCATTTGGTCGAAATAGATGGAAATAGACAAATCGTGAGTTATAACCAATAAAAATTATAAAATTTAAAGCACATCAATTAACTGACATTGGGTTGAAACAGATGGAAATGGAGAAAATTTTGGGTTATAGTCTATGAAAATAGTGAATTTTGAGAAAAGAAAACTTGATCACTATTGCTATCCAAAAAATGGACAAACATTGCGGGTTATAGCTCATGACAATTTTGAATTTTGAAATTTGAAGTATGCTAGTTAATTATCATTGGGTCGAAAGAGACAAAAATGGGCACAATTATGAGTTATAGCCTATGAAAATTGTTAATTTTATGAAAAAATAAATTGCCATTGGTTCGAAACTATCTAAAATGGACAAAAATCGTATATGCACACGAAAATTGAGAACTTTAAAGTATTTCAATAATTTGCTATTGAATCGACGTGAAAATGGACAAAAATCGTGGGTTGTAGCACATAAAAATAGTGAATTTTGAGAAAGAAAATGTAATAATTGTTAGTCAAAATGATCAGAAATGGACAAAATTCGTGGATCATAGCCCATGAAAATTGCGAATTTTGAAGTAATCCCATTATTTGCCATTGAGCCAAAATAGATGAATATGGACAACATTGTGGGTTAGTTCATGAAAATGATAAATGTTAAGGAAATAACTTAATTGCCATTGAGTCAAAACAATCTGAAATTGGACAAAAAATATGGATTACAGCCCATGAAAATGCGAACTTTAAAGTATGTCAATTAATTGCCATTGGGTTGCAATAGATGATAATGGATAAAATTGTAGGGTCATAAGTCCATGAAAATGGTGAAATTTGAGTAAAAAAACTTAATTGCTATCGTGCTGAAATGACTGAAAATAACCAAGAATAGTGGGTTATAAACCCTGCAAAATTGCGAATTTGAAGTATGACATTTAATTTCCATTGAGATGAAAGAGATGAAAATGTATGCAATTGTGAGTTATAACATATGAAAATTGTTAATTTTATGGAAAGTAAATTGTTATTGGGCCAAACTATCGAAAATGGACAGAATCATGGATTATACCACAATGGCACAATGAAAATTGAGAATTTCGAAGTACTCCAATTATTTGCTACTACATCAAAATAGATGTAATTGGAGAAATATTTTGGGTTATCGAACACGAAAATGATGAATTTTTAGGAAATAAAATTTATTTTCTATTGTGTCGAAACAATAAAAAATGGACAAAAATTATAGATGCCAATGAGAATTTCTAATTTTGAAGTGGTCCAATTAATTGCCATTGGGTCAAAACAGATAGAAATGGATAAAATATTGGGTTATAGTACATGGAATTGGTGGATTTTGAGTAAATAAAACTTAAGTGTTATTGGGTCCCAACTAAAAAAAAGGGTAAAAATCGTTGGTTATAGCCCATAAACTTGCGAATTCTGAAGTATTCTAATTATTTGTCATTGGATCAAAATAGATGATTATGGACAAAATTGTGGGTTAATATCACTTTGGAACTAAATCACAAAAGAAGAAGAAGAAGAAGATATTGGAGGGCAGCAGAGATGGAAAACGCCATCACAATCATCAATTTTGAGTCCTCATCTAAATGAGATAGACCGTGGTAAGCAATTGTAGGTTGCGGCCAGGAGGTCTCTGATCCTAGTATTTTGTTCAGCATTCTTATGCACGGTGTCCACATCTCATTGCCATGTCTATCCTTCCAATGCATGTATGACATGTCATAGTTTGTGCAACTGACTTGTAAAGTTTACCCGGTACTTTGTCGTCTCCTGGGGCATGAATTTCATTGTGATTCTCTTCTCTTGCTATGTGCAGAAAGAAGAAAAAAAGGGCCCAAGACAACCATGGCATGATTTACACTGCAAAATTGAAGGGCCTGCTGCATATGACGTCCTTACAAATTTTGAGCAGCGCTGGCGCAAGGCAACACATTTTTGGGTTTTTAGTCGTTTCAAGAGATCATCACATTGGAGAGACGATGCACTACTAAAACTGGACCGCATCTCATGGATACTTGATCCATCATCTATTGTTGATGACCCAAGCCTACCTAGAGAAGATGACCCAGAAAACTGGCATGTACAGGTTGGATTATATTTATCCAAAATCAGAAGGAAATTAAACCTTGTCGTATTTGGTTATGGAGTATCTTGATTTTTTAGATTATCTTGTCATTCAGTTTCTTGCATTTTCAGATTTTTAGGTCCATCGACTCCGGTTCTGTAAGAGGGTTTCCGAAACATATACGTGACGCTGAAGAGCAGGTTTGTCTCAGCACATAACTATTCTTTACAGTCCTTGATTAAGAATAGGTATGTTAAAATTTGGCATTTAGTAGAACAAATGATTATTTCCATTCATATCTTTCGTTACTTGTTATGGAAGATATGAGATAACTTTTGTATGTCTATTTAGTCCTGGTGTTACTAACTTTAAAATGAATTGCTGCAGAACCTTATTTTCAGAAAGAATCTAGTAATTGACAAGAGCATCCATACTGCATATGTAAACGCCATCAGATCAGCAGAGCACTTCATATATATTGAAAATCAGTATTTTATTGGTTCTTCTTATGGTTGGCTGTCTTACACAAGTCCAGGTAGGAAGCATACTTTTTCAGCTTTATGTTTAATGTTCTATGTGAATTTAAACATTTGTTCTCTTTTTAAATCAGTAAGTCATCTTTATCATCATTATTTCTGAATAAGGTATATGGCATATTCTTGGCCTGACTATTGTATACCATTTATTTTTCCTGGGGCTATTAAGTCAAATATTACTAGTATACTTTCTATGCAGCAGCATGTACTAGATATTCACCTGCTTCAGAAACATCGTTCTCCATTTGATCTTGGCTAGGTTCCACCAAGTACTGTGACAAACTCATCGCATGTGCAGGACAAAATTTCCATATCCCAAACACGAATTTTCTGATTTACAGTTCCTGAAAGCCATATATTTGTAAGTCTTGAGAGGGAATTAAAACAGCTCTATTAAATGTTTAATTTTTTGTTATTCTCACCTTCTTGGGGACTTTATCTCCCTGTAAACATGCATATCTTAAGGGTTTATGCTTTTGTTAAAAACAACTGGGAATTTGTTGGCGTGTCTCAGATTCTAACGTGTTCCAGAGCAATTAATCTTGATTTACTTCACAAATAACCACTTGTTCAATACTTGCTTCTCAGTTTTGCTTTGAAGAGTAGCAACTGCCTTGTACAAGTTAACTAAGCAGTGATCTTCTACTCCTTCCTTTAGCAGTGCTTCTTCAGCCACTGCCTTTGCGGTGCATCTCTTTTGCTGTCGCTGTTACTGGCTTTTCAGTTTTCACGGCTTGAACCTTGCCATTGTGCCTGACGAATTGCTCCATTTAAACTTGCAATTCCTTGTAGCTTTGCTGCATCTGCTATATCGAAAAGCTCATGCTTCATTGTTTTATTGACAAGATGTAGATGCATACAAAAGGAAATCTTGCCATATTCATAAAATCTCTCTCCAAAGTCATCTCAAGCTTATCTGAACCAATCTTGGGCTTATTTGCAATACTTCACCTTAAAGGGGAGGATTACTGAATTTTGCAAGGGTGAATTTGGAAATTTTTTATATTTACTGTTTATTTTGGGGTAATTGCACATAGAGCCCCTGTAGTATCATTGTTTAGAACTTACTATTCATGTAGTTTCACTGTTGAAGATAGACCCCCTGGATTTAAATTTTATAAAACCCTTTTGCGTACCCTAATCAAATTATTTTTTACCTATAAGGATCTGTGTAATATATCTGCTTTCTGTACCTTTATCTTTCAGTTCACCTTTGTTTTTCTTTCAGATACTTGTATTAGTGTCTGTGCCAGTACTTGGAACATTATCTATTTAGATCTATATTTATTCTAAAATTGCATTATTGCGCTTAATAACAGAAGCAGATAATCTGATTCCGATGGAATTGGCATTAAAAGTTGCAAGCAAAATTAAAGCTAGAGAGCATTTTGCAGTATACATAATCATACCGATGTGGCCTGAGGGTTTACCGAATTCTGGTGCTGTCCAAGAAATCCTTTTCTGGCAGGTACTTGTGTTCTTGTTTCACAGTGTGTTGTGCTGATTTATTATCTTTATGGATGGGTCAAATTCAGTGGATTCTTATTTGATGATATTTGTGTAAACAAGTGTAATAATTCTTCCAATTTAGGTATTGAAGTCGTTGATTTGATAGGAAAAGTGTCGCCTTAAAAACATAACAAATTTGGGATAGGTTGAAATCTTTTAAGGTTCAGTACAACTAACAGTAAGAGCATCCCTACCTTACACCCTGAAAGCTATTAGCACTAAATTTCAATCTTTCTTAAGATTGACAATGTTTATATAGAAAATTTAAAACAAGGGAACACAGCTAAATAAGAGCTATGTAATCCCAGAACAGAATTAAGATATTATGAATGTGCCAATAATTTGTTTATCTTGTTTAGCGACAGTGCTTATAATGTGGTTATGTGCTTTGTTTTCTCTGCATCATAAATGTCACTACGTACATCAAGCTGTTAACTTGAAATTTACAGGATATTATTGTGAATGGAAATAATGGCTTTACGTCTATGCATGTGCATACATACATATCTACGGCTACTGTTTATTTACTTATGTCTTATCTATGCGAAAAAATGCTGGTATATATCTATTACTGCAGGCTATTGTTTCGCTTGTGATTTTACACTTGCAGCAATTCCATTACTAAGTTTATTCATTTATATTCCAGAGCCGAACAATGCAGATGATGTATAAAATAATCGGGGATGAGCTTAAATCTATGAACCTTGAGGAGGCACATCCACAAGATTATCTAAGTTTCTATTGCCTTGGAAATCGGGAAGTACCTACTGGGTTGGGAAGTCAACCTTCGGATGTGGTAATTTATGTCAACTTCTTAAGCAGACATTAGAATTACTTTTGGAATATATTCTAGTAAGATGCAGGAACTAATTACTAAAGCAGATTTAATTTGCCAAACTTTTAGTTTCAGATTTCGTCTCAAAAATATAGGCGCTTCATGGTATATGTTCATGCCAAAGGAATGATAGTAGATGATGAGTATGTTATACTGGGCTCTGCTAATATCAACCAAAGATCCATGGATGGTTCAAGAGACACTGAAATAGCTATGGGTGCATACCAGCCTCATCAAACTTGGGCTATGAAACAAAGCCATCCACGTGGCCAGGTGCACGATGCTCCATTGCCTTTTCTTAACGTAATTTGACAATGAGGCTTTGGCACGATTATATAGTAAATTTATTCGAGTCTGGATATTTAATGAATTCTGTTTACATATATTATACAAGAAACTTAATAGTTGAGCTATCCAATTATGAAGTCCCCCTCATTTTACTGTCATGAATATTTGTCATTGTATAGCTCGACATGTCTGACATCCCTATTACTTTATTGTTTTTTTAATAACCTTCTTGAATAACAGAAGTTGAAAAATGAGTGACGATAAAAGGCCTTACTAGACTTGCACAATTTATGGTAAGTAAAAGTATAATATCAGAACTATTGCTGTCAACAAACCCAATAAATTTTAATCTCCCATGCTAGATTTCCAGGAGGGCTTCGGATAACTAAGGCATTTTGCTATCCAAGAGCTCAAGTTTTACTTGACAAATATACACATCAAGTCTTATTTTCCTCATTTCTCTTTATAGCCTTTTCCTCTTGCACCTATTCTTTCTTAGACATTTGATAGCTGTGCTAATACTTGATTGCTTACCACTTCCCAAACAACTCCATGTCGGTGCTTGTTCATTGTTTCCAAATAATCCATGTATGTACTAGCTTATGAAGGGTATACATTATGATTAGGGTTATTGCAGATAGACCCCCATGTAAAGAAAGGGAAAATCAATTAAAAAAAATGCCTCCAGAGTGAAAATTTCACTCAGGGGACCCACAATTGGGGCCTTGACGATAAGAGAGTCAAAAAAAGAAGTTTCACCTCTGGTGTCTACCCGCAATTGTGTGATAGTATGGGGGTTCTATATGCAGTAATATAACTACAGTGGGTCTATCCGCAATTGGGTGGATAGTAAGGGGTCAATCTACAGTTATCCCTTATGGTTATCATGAAATGAATGATTTTTTTATTACTTTTTATTTTCTTTTTTGCTTGTAGGTGTATGGATACAGGATGTCCCTATGGCAGGAACATCTAGGATTTCTCGACGAACTCTTCAATGAGCCCCACAATCCGAATTGTGTCAAACTTGTGAACAAAATAGCCCAAGATAACTGGACAAGGTACAGTACTGAGCAAATAGTACCATTGAGAGGTCACCTTCTCAAGTATCCAATTAAGGTAGAAGAAAATGGTGATATTGGACCGTTGCCTGGTTCTGAGTTCTTCCCTGATGTTGGTGGCAAGGTTTTGGGTGAGGCCAAACCTATTCCGGATAACTTAACTATGTAGAAAATCATCAAATACATTTGTTCTCTCATTCCTTATCGGTGTGTAAATTGCAGATGAGCAATTTCCAAGAGTATACTGTTAGATACATTGTATACACTCCCTGTACTAAGTGGATTATCCACTTATCACCTCCAAGCTTTTTATTTGCACATAAGCTTTCTGATGTCCAAGCAGAATTCTCTTTGTTATCTATGCACGTAACACCCCTAAGAGAACGGGAGATCTCTCGGCGATAAATTGAAATATGTTGAGGGACATCGCTAACAAGCTCAACGACCTTGAGACATTTCTTTTGGGTAAACATTGCTTAACTTTAAAAAAAAGATTTTAACAGCAAAGACAGATTTTGAGCATGATATTTACATGTGTGGAGAAACTGTTACATTTTTGGTCTCAGTGTCATGGCTTTCTATCTAAACAATATTGCAAGCAATAACATCTACATGCAATGCACATTGGCACTGTTTTAGTCTCATCACGAAGTCTTCAAAAGAAAAGGATGCAAACTATTGCTTCTCACCTCTGATACAGTGATACCTCTCTATG